CCCCCCCCCCGTGTAGATTGCATACATGTTGCCAATAAGATTATGCAACTGGATGACCAGTGTTTTACTTGAAAGTGAAGGGCGAAAATCACAATTCAAGAAGATATTTCATAATCTGTTTTGTTCTGTTTTCACATATCAGCTCTCTGCCCTGTAATAACCTGAAAGCATAAAATGTAATTACAAAATTTTAGCAAAGATGTAACTTTTCTATACTGTGCTTTTTCACATGACGGTAAAGGTAATCTAATAGGCGTTATATCTTGCATGATGTAGTAAACCTTTGAAATGTGTGCGTTAAAATGGTGACCTGATTTCACATTCTTATGTGGAAGTTACCTCTAAGTAACATAATGGAGCAAAAATCAATGGTCAAATCTAAATAAAAGTTGTTTGTGTTAACATGGTGATGTGTTGTTTATACACTAATTATAATATCTCAGGTCACATTTCTATTGCTTGCAAAATGACGTAAACTTTGAAAATACCTGATATCTTACCGGTGTTATTTTGCACAGATGCACTTTCGGCTAGGGATTGAAGGATCGTGGCTTCTAATGAGGGAAGACTAAAATCAAGTGAAGCGATGAGATTTGATTCTGTGCGGACCACTTGTATCCCCCTTGAGGTGGCTGTGTTAGACAGGGTTCTCTAGAGATAAAACCAAATTGCTGTAATTTAATATATATCTAATTATCTTTATAAATATAACACAAGAAATGAACAGTTAAATTATAAAGCAGAACAAATGGCTCAGTGCAACTCACTCCTGTGAGAAAGAGTTATGAGACACTAGCCGTCTAGTCTGCTGCCAGGTCTTCCTCTACATATAGAGTGAGCTAGGTTATCTCAGCAAAGCAGCTAATCACAAGGCAGGTCACCAACCACCAGTCCCCAGCGATGTCTTAAAGGGACCTCAACTTACAGTGACACGGTTCACAGGCTAGGCATCCCACAGGTAGTGTAGCCTATAAATTGAGGCACAGAACAAGGCAGGCAGCTGCACACTGGTCCGATGATCAAAGAGCGAGAAACAAATGGCTCGGTGAGCCTCGCCTTTGTCTCTCTGCCCTTCAGTTAATCCCACTTGTGTTTATCGGCCAGGCTGGCACAATAAACTATCTCAATCTACCCCTTGCCAACCTGGCACCTATACACAATTCTTTAGCCATGTATACTTATATAATTTACAGACATTGATGAAATCACACATATAAATGAAAACACAGTCCAATTGTACCTGATATGTCATACTTGAACAAAGGAAAGATATGCAATAAGCACATAAAAAAACATTGACAATTACAAACCTTGCTTTTGCAATTGATCACGTGGTCGTAATTGATAGGTAGAACTACCTTCTACTACTACCCATTCTGTATTACCTTTGCCCTCAGCAAGCACCTCAGTTGGATGCAGTTTTTTCTGGTGGGTTGACCCAGACCTTCATTCCTGAGGGGTCTGGTCATTGTAAGTCCTGTAAGGATTGGGTTGCTGTAATTTACCATTTACTTTAATCACAGGGCATGGTAGCACTAAGAGCCGGCCTATGGGATCTCCTGGATTCCAGACATATTCTTCTTTACCTCCATTATGTAACACCAGTCCAATTTCTCCTTGGTAATCAGGATCAATCACACCACTCAGTACAGTGACACCCTTCCTGGCCTGTTGATCCAAAGGCCTGAGAAGCCCAAAGTGGCCAGGGGGCATTCTCAGCTGCCAGTTCAGTGGAATCCGTGCTGTGTTTCCAGGTGGGAGAGTACCTTCCTTCGGGACCAGGACCTCCAGGCCTGAGGAACACAGGGTTGCTGGGACAGGAAGCAAAAATGCTGCAAGTAGATCACTAGGAGTAATAGTGAGTGGTGCCACCGCAGCTTCCGCCCCTTGGTTCCTGGACCCATGAATTCTGGCTATTGGAGACACTGCACCATATATTAGACGCTGGTTTAAAGCATATACAGCTTCCTGGAGAACATTGTCCCAGCCCTGCAAGTTGTTGCCACCTAGTTGGCGCCGTAATTGTGCCTTTAGGAGCCCATTCCATCGCTCTATCAAGCCAGCAGCTTCAGGAAGATGAGGAACATGATACGACCAGTGGATTCCATGGGAATGGGCCCATTGCTGCCCTGCATTTGCTGTGAAGTGAGTTCCTTATCTGAAGCAATGCTATGTGGGATGCCATGCCGGTGGATGAGGCCTTCTGTAAGTCCACGAATAGTAGTTTTGGTAGAAGCATCCCGTGCAGGGAAGGCAAATCCATATCCAGAGTAGGTGTGTATTCCAGTAAGAACAAAACGCTGTCCCCTCCATGATGGAAGTAGTCCTATGTAATCAACCTGCCACCAAGTTACTGGCTGATCTCCCCGAGGAATGGTCCCAGATCTTGGACTTAATGTTGGTTTCTGCTGCTGGCAAATGGGGCACTCAGCAGTGGCAGTGCCCAATTCAGCCTTGGTGAGTGGAAGTCCATGTTGCTGTGCCCATGCATAACCTCCATCCCTGCCACCATGTCCACTTTGTTCATGTGCCCGTTGGGCGATAACAGGAGTGGCAGAGGAAAGAGGAGGACCAGTCTCCACAGCACGTGTCATCTTATCCACTTGATTATTAAAGTCCTCCTCCTCAGAGGTAATCCTTTGGTGAGCGTTCACGTGTGATACAATTATCTTCACTTCCTTGGCCCGTTCAGAGAGGTCTATCCACATACTTCTTCCCCACACCTCCTTGTCACCAATTTTCCAATCATGGTCCTTCCAATTCCCTGACCATCCAGCCAAGCCATTAGCCACAGCCCATGGATCAGTATACAGTCTCACATCTGGCCATTTTTCCTTACATGCAAACTGAACGGCCAGGTGCACCGCTCGAAGTTCTGCCCATTGGGAAGATTTCCCTTCACCACTGTCCTTTAGGGAAATCCCAGAAAGGGGCTGTAGTGCTGCTGCTGTCCACTTACGAGTGGCACCTGCATATTGTGCAGAGCCATCCGGAAACCAAGCATGACTTTTTTGATCTTCAGTTAAAGTACGGTAAGGAACTCCCCAGGAGGCCATAGGTGCAGACTGGGAGAAAGAAGGTAATGTGACAGGAGTGGAGACTGTGGACATTTGGGCCACTTCTTCATGCTGCTTACTTGTCCCTTCAGGTCCTGCTTTGGCCCAATCTCGTATATACCACTTCCATTTAACAATGGAGTGTTGCTGCGCACGTCCAACTTTATGATTCCATGGGTCAGACAAAACCCAGTTCACGATAGGTAGTTCAGGTCTCCTGGTGACTTGGTGGCCCATGGTGAGGTGTTCAGTCTCCACCAAGGCCCAGTAACAGGGCACCAGCTGTTTTTCAAAGGGGGAGTAGTTGTCTGCAGAGGATGGCAGAACTTTACTCCAAAATCCCAACGGTCTACGCTGTGATTCACCAATAGGGGTCTGCCAAGACTCCACACTGCATCCTTATCTACAACTGACACCTCTAGCACCATCGGGTCAGCTGGATCGTATGGCCCCAGTGGCAAAGCAGCTTGCACGGCAGCCTGAACCTGTTGCAGAGCCTTTTCTTGTTCTGGGCCCCACTCAAAATTGGAGGCTTTTCGTGTCACTTGATAAATAGGTCGAAGTAGAACACCCCAGTGAGGGATATGTTGCTTCCAAAATCTGAAGAGGCCCCTAGGCGTTGAACCTCTTTTTCAGTCATTGGGGGCGCCAAATGCAATAATAGTTCATCCTTCACTTTAGTAGGAATATCTCGACATGCCCCACACCATTGGACTCCAAGAAATTTTACTGAGGTGGAGGGTGCCTGAATCTTCGTTGGGTTAATTTCCCAACCTCTTGTACGCAGATATTGTACCAATGAATCTAGAGTCTTTGA